GCTAGCTTTCGTTTTTCTTTCACAGTGGTTGTGATATCACCAGTTTACTGTGATCGTATTGCGATTTATATATACATATATATATATATATATATATATATATATATATATATATTATATATATATATATAAATATATATATATGTCGTGCCAAATAGGCAGAACTTGCTATCTTGGCTTAAATAGCAACGTTCATCTTGCCATATAGCACAAGTGAAAATTTGTGCATGCAATAATTTCGCCAAAATTATTCTGAATCAAACGAAAAAAATATATATCGTTGTGTTTCTTTATTATTAAATTATTGTAAACGTATCTAAAATATATTTAGTTGGGTTAGGCTAAAATAAATTGTTCTTGTTACAATAAGGTCAGGTAAGTTTTCTAAGATTCTTTTGGAGCAAAATTAAAAATTCTTACATTAACATTAATGAAAACAATATATCTTTAAACGTATAAGAGAAAAATTTAGAAAGGACTTAATTTTAAATGAGTTCTTGCTAATTGACCAGTTTTTAATATTATATATATATATATATATAATATATATATATATATATATATATATATATATATATACATAGTGGTATGGTTGTCCAACACGGGCACCGGAGGTCACATGAACATCGCTCTACATTCAGACGTATTTATGATATATACAGTTAAGCTGGGCCAGTGTTCGTAAGTAAATATGTATACAGATGCCAGAAACTAGAGTATACATATAGTATACTATAGATGGGAGAAGCATCAATAAATGTCGAAAATAATTAAGACAAAATTCGCAGCAACGGATACAAGTTAGACGAATCTAAATTTAATAATATAGAGACGAGAGATGTAGTGAGCAACGTCACTTATAATTGTATCTTGGGTTATTTTAAAAATAGATTGGAGAGGTAGCTGCATGGGAAGGGTTAAACGTAAGTCTGCTTCGCATGGGTAGTTCAGCTATCAAAACTTTGGGGGCCCAGTCCATGGACCCATTACGTACCTCTGTAATCTGTAAATACCTTTGTAACTTGTCATGATTGTGACCAGACTTACCTGGAGTTCATTACCTTTGTAAATTGTGAGTTCATTACCTTTGTAAATTGTGAGTTCATTACCTTTGTAAATTGTGAGTTCATTACCTTTGTAACTTGTGAGCTCATTACCTTTGTACCTAGTTCAGCTATCAAAACTTTGGGGGCCCAGTCCCTGGACCCATTACGTACCTCTGTAATCTGTAAATACCTTTGTAACTTGTCATGATTGTGACCAGACTTACCTGGAGTTCATTACCTTTGTAAATTGTGAGTTCATTACCTTTGTAAATTGTGAGTTCATTACCTTTGTAAATTGTGAGTTCATTACCTCTGTAACTTGCTCAGCTATCATAACTTTGGAGTCCAGTCCCTGGACCAATTATGTACCTCTGTAATCTTTTGACTACCGCCCACAGGATGGGTATGGTGTGACTACCGCCCACAGGATGGGTATGGTGTGACTACCGCCCACAGGATGGGTATGGTGTGACTACCGCCCACAGGATGGGTATGGTGTGCATAATAAACATATTAAACTAACTGGGCCAACATTGGTACAGTGGTACTACTAGTCTTGTGTATACTGTGTACCACTACTCAGGCTGCTTCTATCATCCATATTTCTGTATCACATCGTAATATTCCTAAGATTAAACTGTTTATTATTATTCAGTTGTTCCAGTAAATGCTGTACAACCTAATTTACAAAATATTACCTTAACCACCGCTACCAAGATATCTAGTTTATAATCTGATAAGCACGCACGTTTTATTCACTTATCTTAGTTTTACAATGCCAATAATGTTAACGAATCACTAAAATATCCTAGACATCATTCTGGGTTATACTTCTGTAATAACCTGTTGTGAGTTATTATAGATGGCGTGGGAATATCGCTTGCCTAGCAGGCTTTATAAAGTCCAAACTTAAAGCTTCTTGCGTAGGCAACACTTAAGTCTTAAAGTTCCCTATGTTAAACCATACCCCGGCCGGGATAGAACCCGCGGTCAGAGTCTCAAAACTCCGGACCGTCGTGTTAGCCACTGGACCAGCTAGCCACAATAAGATTCGTCCAACTAGGTATATTTCTACACCATAGGAAGGTTAGCATAGGCCACCACTGTGACCACATATGCAAGTTTTTACAGACGAATCTCCAGCTGGTCCAGTGGCTAAAGCGACGGTCTGGAGTTTTGAGACTCTCTAACCGCGGGTTCAAATCCCGCCCGTGGTATGGTTTGTTTGCAATCGTGTCATTACGATTCCCTATGTTGCTTGCGTGTCTGTCAGCTACGTTACGTTAAAACTATACAACATAAGACTGACAGGACTAACAGATACCGAGAATGCTACTCTACCCCCTCAAGAAAGTTGCTTAATGAAGGTTGTGTTATACTGAAGCTGTTTCTGTAATATCTTGTTTGAGAGAACCGGGGACCTGCTGACTGGCTCTCCTGTTTCTGTTATCAAA